AGATCTTGTAAGACTATTCACTACCATGAGAACAGTATGTGGGAAACCACCCTCATAATTCAATTATCTCCCACCAGGTCCCTCCCACAACACATGGGAATTACGGAAGTACAATTCAGATGAGATTTGGGCGGGGACATAGAGCCAAATTGTATCAGCCATTAATTATCCTAAGCAAATTAACAAAGGAACAGAAAAGCAAATACCATGTTTTTACTTATAAGTGGGAGCTAAGCATTGGGTACACATAGACATAAAGATGGAAACAGACACCAGGGATAGACACTAGAGCAGGGAGGGAAAGAGGTGGGTAAGGGCTGAAAAACTACCTATTGGGTACTATGCTCATTACCTGGATGATGGAATCATTCGTACCCCAAACCTCAGCATCACACAATATACCTATGTAATAAATTTGCACATGTACTCCCTGATCTAAAATAAAAGTTGAAATTATTAAAAAAGAAAAAAATAACAGAAACTATTCTTGTACAAGCTGAGTGATAGAAAAATATTTTTTTGTATTTTTATTCTTTTTTAATTTACTTTTTACAAGTTTCTGAATTGATCAGTTTTCCTTTCTAATGGTGGGGAGGAGCAGTAGATGTGGAGGTAATAAGTGATATTTGCTTTTTAAAAAGTGAATTCTCTCTCTGCTGAATTTCTTGATTAGTGGATCCAATTCATCCACAAACCATCCCTTCTCTGTTGCCATCTTCCAGTTAGCCAGCTAGTTAACTATGTGATTCAGGTTCAGGTCAATGAAACAAGATGAGAAGACTGCTAGGTAAGCTTTTGAGAAAGCTTTTGCCTTCCTGATATAAAGGGATATATTCAGCGGCCACATCACTTCACATGTTTAACAGCTTTCTTGAGATATAATTAACACATCATACAGTTTGCCCATTTAAAGTATACAAATCAATGGTTTTTAGTATATTCACAGAGTTATACCACTATAACCACAACCAATTTTAAAATATTTTTATCAACCCAAAAAGAAACTCTATATCCATTAGCAGTCATTTCTCATACTCTCTTAATCCCCACTTCAGCCTTGGGCAACCACTAATCTACTTTCTGTCTCTAGATTTGTCTATTGTGGACATTTCAAATAAATGGAATTGTGCAATATGTGATCTTTTGTCACCATCCTTTTTCACTTTGCATAATGTCTTCAGGGATCATTCATGTTATAGCATGTAGCAGTATTTTATTCCTTTTTATGATCTAATAATATTTTATCATTTAGATACTATCTATTCATCAGTTGATAGACATTTGGGCTTTCTTTTCACTTTTCGACTCTTATGCATGCTGATGCTATGAACATTTGTGAACGAATCCAATTCACAAACACTTGATTTGGTTTGTGTTTGTATGAATGGATGTTTTCATTTCTCTTTCTCTTGGATACATTCCTAGGAGTGAATTGCTGAGTAAACTCTTTAACTTTTTAAGGAACTTCCAGACTCTTTTCCAAAGCATCCATATCCTTTTCATTCCCACCAACAATGTATGAATACCTTCACATTTTGTCCTTCCCTTTTCCTTTTTGGAAAAATACAATCCTGATGCCTGAAAGTAGAGTAGCCAGCTTAAAACTAAGAGGCACAAACATGAACATGCTAATGATAGCAGAGAAGAACGACCCAGTCTAGATTTCTACTTACCTCTAGACTTTCTATTATTTGGGAGGAAAAACTCCTAGTTGATCAAGGTATTTTAAGTGGGGTCATCCAATAATTATAAAGAAGGCAAAAATCTTCCAAACATACAATGTCATTCTATTCAGAGAATAAACTTCTCCTTGATCTTTATATACTAATTTATAACAAAACCATCTTTTTAAACCTTGAAATTGTAAGAAAAACCCAATGTATTTTCATTTGACCTATTCTTATTTTTTATAGAATTTCTTTATTATTATTCTGTTAATGCAATAAATATTAATAATGACCAACATATGAACTAAGCAAAGTAAGCAAACCAGTAATCAAAGCCTCTTCTAAGCACTTTTAAAAGGTATTAGTCTTCTAAATAACTCTATGAGATAAGTAAAACTACTTTTCCCATTCTATATATAAAGAAATTGATGCACACAGGATTTAAGTTACTTGTCCAAGGTCACACAGCTAATGTCAGAACCAGTATTCAAAGGAGGCAGAATTCCTGCTTAACCCTAAAGTATTGCCTCCTCTGTAGAGCACCTTAGCAATTTTAGGATAGAAGATTAATAATTAGTAGCTTGAAAATGAATAAAGGGGTATGTATGTATGCACATGTGTGCATATGTGCTCATTTATGTTACACTCTACTTTCACATTGAGATGAGTAAGGGGACAACTATTTTTTTCGCACCCACCAAATGTCAAGTATTGTACACAATGCTCAACAAGTATTATCTCACTAAATCCTCGTAACAGCCAGGAAGAAGATAATAGCTTCATTTATAGGCAAAGAATCTGAGACCCAGTAAAGTTAAATAACTCGCCCAGTTTTACACAACTGATAGCTAGCAGATTTGGATACAAAATTAAATCTGCTTTGTTCAAAGCCAATGCTCTCACTACCATACAATAACATATACCTGTTTAGATTATTCATACGCTAAATTAGAAATGCCACATTATTATATAAGCTCTTATGACTTTATATTTATTACTCTCATTATCTCTTCATAACTACTCATATGCTTTAACTTTCTGAAAATATGTTCCCATCCTTTCTGCCAAAATACCTGAAACTTCTATGACTAAAATATAATTTAAAATGAAAACACATGGCCCTGGAAAAATTTTATATAAACAAACCCCTCATCATATTTGAAGAAATTATTCTAAAAGCTCAGATGGTCAAGTTATCTCCAGAAAAGGTCCACGCTGATAATTTTTGTGTTAGTCCAATAATATTCCACTATCTACCTGCCTGGACCAAATTCCTTCCAATATTCTTCATGACTATGATACATCAATAATTCTCTCCTTTTAATTAGCAGTCACTTACTCTTCTCAAAGTAGTGTTTCTTCCATCCAAGTACTAACTAGGCCCAACCCTGCTTAGCTTCCGAGATCAGACAACATCAGGCACATTCAGGGTGGTGTGGCCGTAGACTCAAAGTAGTGTTTCTTAGCCAACACACATTTAAAACTTTCCCTAAAAAAAGTTTTCCTGAACTTGCTATTTCCTCTAACTGTTAAAGGCAGAGCCAGGTCTAATATGAAGGGCATCTCTGCTCCAAGATGTAGGCAAGCACATAAAGACACCATCTTCTACTTGATAATCTTACCTATCCATATCTTTATCGGGGTCTTAATTATCGTGTTCACATTTTAACATTAAAAGTGTTGTGAGGGGCTACTTTGGGAATGTGCTCAGAGGAAATTACTGCCTGGTTTTATAAAACCTCTGTAATTTGATCCCATGCCAATGATACATCTTTCTTCCAACATGAATAAGAAAATTATTCTTTATTCATCATCATCTACAAGCCAGGTATGCTAGGCATGAATTTTCATTCTCATCTCTTTAACGTCTGTTCTTCCCATTCTATTTTTATTCTTACCTCTGCATCTCTGCTTAGTCATGTCCATCATCTGAATGCCATCTCTCCTCTCTAACTTACCATCATTCTAAGTCTAGCTAAATCACCAGTTCCTCCCTGAAGCCTTCCCTATACTCATAAGCCCACACTCAGCAGCATCTTCTGTAGATTCTTGTAACATTTAAAGCCTGTAATCTCTTTATCTCATCCTTAATTAGATTTGCCCAAAGTCACTCATGAGTTGTCATTCTTGTTCTCTAACCATTGTGCATATTTTCTATAGCATGAGACCAATTTCCATATTTTTAATTTATCTCCTAGATTATATATAACACAGTGATAAGAAAAAATACACTAAATAAATTAATAACATAAACGAGATTATAGCTTAAGAAACCAATCTACCTTTAAGTGTCATACTTACAAAGAATATCACTAACATAAATCACCTGTTTCTTAAACCAAATCTAAAAACTATTTTTAAGCTCTTTAAAGAATGTTCAGTTTTGCTCTGAAGCTATAATACCAAATTCTTAAAATACATTTAGCTTAGACTTTTATTTCTGACTCCAAACCCAGTATCTTGAGGTTTTGCCAATACGTTAAATATTCACATTGCTTACCAACATCAGTGGCCACAACTTAAAATAATATTAAAGTTATAAGTTTCCTACCACACAAGTCTAGGTTTAGATATTTGAAATCACAATGAATGATCTATATTTGCACAGTGAAATTGTCTAAGAATTAAATTCCAAATTATAATTATATTTAGGCTTATATTTAATTAAGCAGGCAAATCTTAACAAGTCCATTATACAATTTTAACTAGTAATGCATCTGAAATGACCATAATTAGTGCAATTAGTTTTCATTGAACCTGTCAGACAAAAATATCATGCAACTTGAATCATAAAAAAAAAAAAAAAAAAAAAGTTGCATTTTAAACCTCTGTAAATCACAAGTGGTTCCACACCAGGCGGAAAGGAGCAAACTATCCAAATTAACTCTATCTAAAATAAACAAGAAAAAGTAAAGAAAAAAAAATCTATCACAAAACAAGTGAGGAAAATTTTCTACTGGGTCTCTTATTACTCAAGCTTATTACAGCCAGAAGTAGAAGTGAAACAAGGCCAAAACATATGAAAGAACACTGCTAGTATTACTTAAGAAAAAGCTAATGATGAGCTTTCCACAGGAAAAAACAGATACAAAGGAAAAAAAAAAAATAAGGTGGATACATTCACCAAGAAATGTCATTTACCCATAAAGACAACATTTATATTAATTTACTACATCATTAAGTATAGAGTTAATCTCTCTGTGACAAAATAAAATAAAGACAAAAACAAATATATTTTCTCCCTATATGGTTTGTTAGAGTTTGTGCCATAAAGAATTTCTGGACATTTGTTCTTAAATGTATTTTGCAAGGACATAAAAGAAGGAACCATACCTGTTTTACCAATGACTTCTTGCAATTCAGCCATAGAACTGATTATTGCAGCAAGAAGGTCAGAACTGGTGAGCCAACTGAGCGCTTGTAAACAACGCAACTGCTCCTTTTGATGTTCTACAAAATTGAAAAAATCCATTATAAAATTCTACAAAACTTTATTAAAATCGATATTTAAAATTCATAGCAGTGTTCAGCTATTTAAGGAACAGATCAAACCCTATTGTGAACATTGCCTAATGTGGAAAAATCTATTAAGAAATTTTAGATTAGACTGACCTAATTTATAAATAACTGTAAATGACACCAAAAAATAAAATAGAAAAAAAAAATTTCTTTAGTTTTACTTATATTACTTAATAGTCTGCTTTTTAAAAATTAAAAATTAAATCATTTCTTCAAAATATTCAAACATTCAAAAAATAGCTGGAAAATATATATTTGTCTCATTTTCATGATTCTTCAATATATTTTTAACCCATTTCATACTTATTCATAGAAATGGAAAATAAACTATACTGATAATTTGAAGTAGTGTAGTTTTTGACTGACATAATTGAAAAATCACTGTATAAACTCTTCACTTTACTGCACAGGATTCAAATATAAAACTAGACAGCGTTGAAATTATATATATTTGCCACCTTATATTTTAATCTGTTTAAAACAAAAAACCAAGGCCTAATTTATACAAAAATAGTCACTTATCTATCTACACATATACATACATGTGGGGACTATGTTATATTATCTGGCATATTACATGATTTTTTTTTTTTTTAGTTTTTCCATAGTAGCCAGGTATAGCCACACTGTATTTTACTTACATGCAACTTATATTTTTAAAAGCACAAATTATCTTACTTGGAAATTTATGCTTGTCTTTGGGCTCTCCTGAACACACTAACATGCCTATGCCTTCTTTGAAACTCTCCATCCAGGTAAATAGAGAGGCACATGATTGGCCCAAAATCTTGAGTCTGTTTGCTGCCAAAATTGCAATAACACCTTTCCGGAATATGTGTATCAATCCTTTGAATGTTTTTTTCTTCATCTTGGCTTCCTCTTGCTTCTTTTCCTCTACAGTTGACAAAGCCTGGGCTAGAGTTCTAATTTCCAGTTTGAACAGTTCAAAGGTGTTGACCTGCTCCTGGAGAAAATCTCTCTGTGTAGATAAGGCACATGATCGGCTATAGAGGGGATATAAGGCACCAGCCATCAATGCACAGGCTGCCAGCAAGGATGTCTGTTCCCTTTGAGTCTGTGATAACAGTTTTTTGAAGTGCGAATTTTCGAGAACCAACTGTTCATGCGACTTCTCAATATGGCTCAATTTTTCCATATTTTTTTCAGCAATTTCTTGAAATGTCTATGAAAGAAGTCAAACAATATGTTTGATCATGAAACAAACAGGCATTATATTAATTTCCCTTTACACACAAAAAAACAAACTTCGCTGACAACCACTTCTTCTTCTTCAAAAGATACATGTGCTAAAATATCCAAAATATACATAAGTCAGCTACGGCAACAGTGAGCCAAACAGCTTAGAGCTGAATGTGCATACTGATTTTTCTTTCTTTCTTTCTTTCTTTCTTTCTTTTATTGTACTTTAGGTTCTGGGGTACATGTGCAGATCATGCAGGATTGTTGCATAGGTACCTACATGGCAATGTGGTTTGCTGCCTCCATCTTCCCGTCACCAATATCTGGCATTTCTCCCTATGTTATCCCTCCCCAACCTTCCCACCCACTGCTGTCCCTCCCCTAGCCCACCCAACAGCCCCCAGTGTGTGATGCTCCCCTCCCTGTGTCCATGTGTTCTCACTGTTCGACACCCACCTATGAGTGAGAACATGCAGTGTTTGATTTTCTGTTCTTGTGTCAGTTTGCTGAGAATGATGGTTTCCAGGTTCATCCATGTCCCTACAAAGGACATGAACTCATCGTTTTTTATGGCTGCATAGCATTCGATGGTGTATATGTGTCATGTTTTCCCTGTCTAGTCTATCATTGATGGGCATTTGGGTTGGTTCCAGGTCTTTGCTATTGTAAACAGTGCTGAAATGAACATACATGTGCATATGTCTTTACAATAGAATGATTTATAATCCTTTGGGTATATACCCAGTAATGGGATTGCTGGGTCAAATGGAATTTCTATTTCTAGGTCCTTGAGGAATCGCTACACTGTCTTCCACAATGGTTTTTAAATCCTCTTACATAGAAGCTTTACATAAAGTAGAACACATAAATTTAAGAGTATTTCATGAAGTTCCTATATACTTATCCAAAAATACACAAATTTAGAAAAGAAAAACATGCTTTCTCTGTATAATTTATCTTTGTCCACTCCTCATTAACTCTTCATTCCTATTTTTAAACAGAAATGACACTGCCAACAGAGGATTTCCTAGATGTAAAAAAGACTTACTTTTTACCAAAATAAGCAACCAGTTCAATCAATGATATAACAAATAGCACAGTCTACATTTAAAGCATAAGAAGGCACTGTCTCTCAAGGATACCTGCTTATTTCAGTTTCTGTCTTAACTCCCCAAGACAGAAAGCTGTACACAGCACATCTTCAGTGGTGAGAGGAAATACTAATAGTGATACTACTGGGCCTCTGTAGCCCTCTGTTCCTTTTTGCCTATTCAATGTGCTTACAATCTAAAACTTAATTTGGAATAAAAAGAAATTTAACTGTAGGAATCACAATTAATCCTAGAAAATAAACTGGCTCTCTATGAAATCTTAACCTAATCAGTAAGGAATCTTGAGAGAAAGAGTAAAATTAAGAAGGGTCAGGCACAGTGGCTGACACCTGTAATCCTAGTGCTTTGGGAGGCTGAGGTGAGAGGATTGCTTGAGCTCAAGAGTTTGAGATCAGCCTGGGCAACATAGCAAGACCCAGTCTCTACAAAAAAAAAAGTAAAAAAATTAGGAATGCTGGTACACACCTATAGTTCCAGCTACTTGGGAGGCTACGGTCAGAGGATCAATTGAGTCCAAGAAGTTGAGGCTGCAGTGAGCCAGGGTAATGGGGGAGGGGAAGGAGGAAGAAAAGGAGGAGGAGGAGGAGGAAGAAGAAGAGGAAGAGGAGGAAGAATAGGAGGAAGAGGAGGAAGAAGAGGAAGAGGAGAAAGAAGAGGAAGAGGAGGAAGAGGAAGAAGAGGAGGAGGAAGAGGAAGAAGAGGAGGAGGAGGAAGAAGAAGAGAAAAAGAAGGAGGAGGAGGAGGAGACGGAGGAAAGAAGAAAGAAGAAGAAAGATCCCAATTTCCTGTACTATTCACTTATCATTCAATAAACATTTACTGGGGCCATGCATGAGGACTCACACCTGCAATCCCAGCAGTTTTGGAGGCTAAGGTGAGAGGATTGCTGGAGGCCAGGAGTTTAGGACCATCCTGGTCAACACAGTAAGACCCTGTCTCTACAAAAAAAATTGGAAAATGTCAGCCAAGTAGGGTAGTATGTGTACAGTTCTAGCTACTCAAGAGGGTGAAGGTTGGAGGATCTCTTTAGTCCAGGAATTCGAGACCAACTTAGGTGACAGTGCAAGACCCTGTCTCCATTTAAAAAAAAAAAAGTATTGATTGATTACTCACTAAATTCCATGTACTAGGAAAAGAGACAAGTAAATCAACTAGTATGGTATAATGCTATGATAGAGATATTCCAGATTCACAATAGCCAAAAGGTAAGAGTACAAAAGGGCACTTAAACAAATTGTGGCAGACATATTCTATCAATGGGACTATGTCCCAGAACTCCACACAGAGACCACTAGTAAAGCAAGTGGTGTCCCACAGGAGTGCTAAAAGCAGCAAGAAACTCTAAGAAGCAGCAGCTATGCAGACTGCTTGCAAGAGGATGTGAGACAACCCTCTTAAGCCAGGCAAACTTTAAGGAAAAAGAAAACTGACACTTGGCTTGTGGCTAGATTAAAGCAGGAAGACTAGCATGTAAAAAAGGAAGAGCCAGAAAGCACTACTGTATGCTCTAAGGATGCAAAGAATTCAGAATACCTGAAGAACTGAGGGAAATTATGGAAATTTGAAAAGTACACAGAAAAAAGATGACTGAGTACCTTATGTGCTACACTAAGAAACTTAGCTTAATCTGCAGAGGTATGAGAAGCCATAAAATCCTGGAACTGTCCCTACTGTTAGTAAAGGGATATGAGAATCAGAAACATAATAAAGATGGCCAGGGGTAGCAGTAGAGTTGCAGCAGCTGGGAGTAGGATGAAGGGAACAAATGGAAATCACAAAGGTTAATTCCACATTCTCTTCAAAACCAATTTCATTTGTTGAATTAGAGAAAGAAAGGAAAACTATAGAAAACCTAGAAAATACAAGAGGCAAACTAGCAATACTTAGATAAGTGAAAATAAAAGTGAACCTCAGTGTCTCAGGCAGAAGTGTTTTCAACAAAAATTACACGCAAAATTACAATAAAAACTGTGCGTGTAGATACAGGTAGAGGAAGAGATACTGTATCCTAAAGTCAGTATCTTAATAATGGGGGAAAACCCAAAGCATTCTTACCAAGTTCCAGGGCAAGGGAAGAATACCCACTCTCTCCACTAGTATTTAACACTGTAATGTTTGCAGCAACATTATTCACAGTAGCCAAAAGGTAGGAAAAAACACAAATGCCTATCAGGGGATGAATGAATAAACAAAATGTGGTATATCCACACAACAGAATATTATTCAACCATAAAAACGAATGAAGTACTAATATATGGTACAACATAAATAAACCTTGAAAAAATATGCTAAGAGAAAGAAACCAGACATACAAGGACACGTTTGTATGACTCCATTTATACAAAATATACATATTAGGAAAATTTATAAACACAGAAAACATATTTTCGGTCACCAGGGGCTGAGGAGAAGAAGGAACAAAGAGTGGCTACTTAATGGGTTCTGGGTTTCTGTTCAGGAGCTAAACAGTGGTGATGGTTGTACAGTACTATGAATACACTCAATGCCACTCAATTGTGTACTCTAAAAGGATCAAAATGGTAAATTTTATGTCATGTGTATTTTACCACAATTTAAAATATCAATATCCTTAATATATACATGTAAACACAAAATAAGATAATGGAAGAGAAAACCCCATTTAGAATTCCATAATAAAAAAGATAGAATAATGTAGGAATCAATTTAGTCTGAAATGTGAGAAATCCATATAATGTAAAGTTTCAAATACATTTGAAAGACACAAAATAATATTTCAAACTTCAACAGCCTAACTCATTCACAAAGATTCAATTCTTCCTAAGTAAACTGATAAACATAGTGCAATTCCACTTAAAAACAAACCAGTTTGTTTTCTGGAACTAGGCAAGTTGAGTTTCATCCTGAAAAAGAAGAGGAATGAGAAGGGAGTAGCCCCACTACACATTAGAACACCAACAAAACCTCTAGTTAAGGCCGGACATGGTGGCTCATGCCTGTAATCCCAACACTTTTGGAAGCCGAGGCAGGTGGATCACCTGAGATGAGGAGTTCAAGACTAGCCTGGCCAACGTGGTAAAACTCCGTCACTACTAAAAATACAAAAAACCAATTAGCTGGGCATGGTGGCAGATGCCTATATTCCCAGCTACTTAGGAGGCTGAGGCAGGAGAATTGCTTGAACCCAAAAGGTGGAGGTTGAATCGAGCCAAGAGTGTACCACTGCACTCTAGCCTGGGCAATAGAGCAGGACTATCTCAAAAACAAAAAAACAAAAAACAAAAAAAAAAACCTCTAAACCCTCTAATTAAAAAATCATGTTATTTGTACATGAAAAAACAAAAAGATCAATGGAACAGAACTGAACATCTAGAAACAGATCTAAGCACAAAAAAAAACTTCAATGATAAAGGTAGCAATTCAAAGCAGTGGGAAAAAGACAGACTAAACGGTGGTGAAATAACCAGATGGCCTTTTGGAAAAAAATATAAAAGTTGATCAATACCTGACATCTTATACAAAAGTAAATTCCAAATATATCATAAATCTATATGTAAAAAAGTGAAACCACAGAAATATTAGAAGAAAATACATGTAAATTACTTAATCTTGGTATAAAGATAGGATTGCTAAAACTAAAAATCCAGATGCATAAAAAGAAAAGATCAATTAACATATAAAAAATACACATTGGAGGGCCAGGCACCGTGGCTCATGCCTGTAATCCCAGCAATCTGGGAGGCTGAGGTGAGCAGATCACAAGGTCAGGCTATAGAGACTATCTGGCTAACATGGCAAAACCCCATCTGTACTAAAAATATAAAAAATTAGCCAGGCGTGGTGGCACTTGCCTGTAGTCCCAGTTACTTGGGAGGCTGACACAGGAGAATCG